GAAGCGGCGGTGGGGGGGAAGAAACGGCGACCGGGCACTGCTGTAGAAGCGAGTAGGGCGGCCGAGGCAGCGCTTGTGGCGAACTATGTACCCGGCTGATGTTGTTGCGCCCTGTTTCCCTCCCTGCCGTATGCTATTCTCCTTTATGTATGTATGTCCTTTTTATTGCCTTCGGCCTCTGTGCTGTGTTTCTTTTTTTCATGACCTCCCTGCCTACTCTGCTGTGTTGGGTACCTTGATCTCGCATTGCTGTTGCCTTTGTTTTTGTACGTCTGGCTGTCTGCCCTTCTGCCGCCTCTTTGCCCTGTTTGCTCCGTTACTCCCATGCCCTGGTGCGCAGTGCCTGCTGCTGGTACGTTACCCTTTGATTTTTTCTTTGGGCGGGTGTGGGAAGCGGCCTCCTTTATTTTTCTGTTATTTTTGTTTTGTTTTATTTTGATCGGTGTCCGAGGGCTCTTTTCTCGAACGGTCGGTGCGATACCTGTTCTTTTCTTTCAATCATATTGTTTTCTTTTTCCGAGTGGTTTGTACCCTATTTTTGTTTTTTTTTGTTTTCTCGCGGCGTCGTATGTGCCGGGTTTTGAGACCACGGGCTCCCCATTTTTTTGTGGACTAGACTATAGAGCTAATGTGAGAAACAACAACAAACAACAAACCAGTGTCGAGGTGTTCCAACAGAAACACCCCGCGCCCGAACGTTTTGCTCTCCGTGTCTCCGATCCCCAGGCAAGAAAAATAGTCTAGAGTGTAGACTATGCCGATTGCGCCAACGCCCAACCACGGATGACAGAAGACAGATGTGACATAATGTCACGCCAGCTATGCGGCCGGTTGGCAGCTCCCCGTCACCATGTGGACGGGTAGGCACGCATGACCGATGACAAGGCTGTTCCCTCGACCTCGAGGTGTGCACAGAAAACACACACCCGCGGCCGGTTTATTGTCTGATCGTTTCCCCTGTAGCAAAGCAGCGCGGTGGGATAGATTGCACCAAATTGCACAACCAACGTACGTGCCGCGGTGTAGCAGACAGCAACATGCCACGGCAGGCCATCAAGTGGCCATTCAGCAGCAGCATGCGATCGCCATTATTACGATGGCATGATCAGATGGGCACGGGGCTTGCCAACGAAGGGATAGGAGGGAAAGGGTAGCTTGTACGCACGAGCAAAGGTCAGGTTATCGCAATCAAGGTAGCATGGACTATGCCAGAGCTGTTTCGCAGAGACCGCCGCTATCCGACGCGACCCTGCCAGCGATCGAATCGTCGTGGAAGAAAGGCCACAGCGCTCACCAAAACCCAAAAGTCATGGAAATAGAAGAGCGCCACCAAGCATGGGCGGTGCATCACATGTACATGGATGGACTCGAAAGCCCATCAAGCTGAAGGATAAGCAAACATGCGCATGGCTCTCCACAAACAGACAAATGAGTCAGAGGGACAAATGTACCCCCCTCCTGAAGCCGGTACAAAAACAAATGACTGAAACAAAAGGAAGAGGACAGAAGCACAGAAAAGCAACGCGAACTGCGGTGCACCAGCGAAGGACCGGAGTCCGAATGCTAGACGACGCCACAATGTTATGGAGGAACAATGAAATAAAAGGGAAGGGAGCAGGTTCGCTGCTCCTTGCTGGCTCACTCACAGTTGTTGTTGGATTTCATGTGTTATCCTCTTCATACCTAGCCCGCGTTCCGCGAACACAAGTCGAGAGTCGGGACGGGGGTTATTATCTTAGTCACACCAACCAACGAAGATACAAAATATCCATGTCATGATGTCATGATCATACAACGCTTGCTTATAGACTAGTTGCTCGGTTACACTCGAGCGTCAAGCGAATCGGACCCTCTGTTGAGAGGGGCCGGTATCCTATGGAGGCGGTGCCCATGAACGATGAACGAGCGAGCATGGTTGCTGGTTTGGTTGTGGTTATGTATGTGCGGTACACGGTATGTGCGGTGGAGGTTTTATACACTTCTTTCTTCCCCTCGCTGCCTCGGCAAGGTTTTGCGTAGGCATGACCCATAGCGAGGGGGGGGGTCTTTCTAGCGAGGCGGGCTAGACTCACCCTCAATGGACCGATCCCTTCTTGCTGCGGCGCACCCGCCGTGAGGCGTGCGTAGTGGTGGAGTTGGGTCGGCACTGGTGCGTCAGGTACAAATGTGCAGATGCGCGGGCCTCCAGGCCGTCGGTGTCGGCAGCAATGCCCATCTCATGTTTGTGCGCGGAGGCAGACGTCATCAGAAAGGTGGACGGGCACTATGTACGCAGNGGCGTGCGTAGTGGTGGAGTTGGGTCGGCACTGGTGCGTCAGGTACAAATGTGCAGATGCGCGGGCCTCCAGGCCGTCGGTGTCGGCAGCAATGCCCATCTCATGTTTGTGCGCGGAGGCAGACGTCATCAGAAAGGTGGACGGGCACTATGTACGCAGCCCTAGGTTTGCTAGAGGGAGCTGTACTGTCTCAGTAACCTGGTTTTGCCATCAAAGGAGGAGGGGACAGGTGGTGACGAGCTGATTGGGCTGGTTGACCCTTCGTCGCGAGAATTTTCAGACCAAGAACCCTAAGTGCAACGAGGGAGAAAGCGAGNAGATGCGCGGGCCTCCAGGCCGTCGGTGTCGGCAGCAATGCCCATCTCATGTTTGTGCGCGGAGGCAGACGTCATCAGAAAGGTGGACGGGCACTATGTACGCAGCCCTAGGTTTGCTAGAGGGAGCTGTACTGTCTCAGTAACCTGGTTTTGCCATCAAAGGAGGAGGGGACAGGTGGTGACGAGCTGATTGGGCTGGTTGACCCTTCGTCGCGAGAATTTTTAGGCCAAGAACCCTAAGTGCAACGAGGGAGAAAGCGAGGAACCGACCGGGATGGACAGCAACGAGAGCGTGCACGAAGCGGAGCGGGTCGAGTTTGGTCGTGCTAGGACTGGCCACAGCGGAACCGGAGCAGGCGGACGGCATCGAACCGTGGCGCACGGACAAACATCTTTTGTGTTGTCGATTATTTTTCGGGTTTTTTCCTGAATACAGATAGAGGTATGTTGGGTGTGTGTTTTTAGATGTTGGGTGTTGTTGTTGTTGTTGTTTCTCACATTATTTATTATTAGCTCTAGTCTAAAAAAGAAAGATTGGGAGCCTGTGGTCTCAAAACCCGGCATACACGACCCCACGAAGAAACAGAAAAAA